GGGGTCACAGCCTGCTCAGCACACCCCGACGCTCGTTTTGAAACGTCTCTCCCGCGCGCGCTTGCTGCGTCGTCGCCGTCGTGACATTTCCAGCGGGTATTCCTTCCCGGTCCATCTTCAGAGAGGCGGCTCCGGAGAGCTCCTCCGAGGCTGCCACGACGCTCTTCCCTCCACCGCCCGCCCCGCAGCTCTTCAATAAACGAAGAGCTCTGCGAGCGCCGCTGCTGACCTTCGCCTTCTTCCTCATCGCCCCTTGCTCGTCTAGTCGGCCTGGGACGGACGGGACGCGCCGAGTGCAACACAGTCTCAGTGTTCGAACGCACTGCTCGCACACTCTGCCCCGTCCGGCCATGGGCGCGCATAGGAATGGACACGGAGGAGTGGCGGGGAGGAGGGCGGCGCCGCCCGGGCCCGTCGAACTCGTTCATCTTGACGTGCTCATAGGCGTTGGCGGCCGACGACACCGCCCCGTCAGGACCCGGGGGGCCGGGTCTGGGAGGAGTGTGGTGGCGTGGCGTGGCGTGGCATGGCGTGGCGTGGCGTGGCCGCTCAGGTTTGGAGAGGATCGCGGCCTTGAGGTGAGCGCGGTGGGGGGGGGGGGGCTGGCTTTGATTAACCCATCTGCATTAGCGCTACGCCATTGAACGGGGTTGCACTCGCCCGGGCCGCTCAATGGACACTGCTCGCTCAACGACGTGCTGTTCGCCATCGTGGGATGGCCTGCCCCTCTGAAGTCGCCTCCATTCATCTGGTCCAGTTGTATAGGACGCGTCGGGCTGCCCAGCCTAGACCTACTCGCAGTTCTAATAGCTGCAGCCGAGAGCTAGGCGGCGGGCCGGGCCCGGGGATGGGGCCATTGTCTGACTGTCTCGAGTGGCAGGGGGGGGGGGCGGCCCCTGACCTGACACCTGCACCGCCCCCTCGAAAGTTCGCGCAGTGCCAACCGGCTTTCAGGAGGATGAACAGCCAGGCGTTCCTCTTTATACCCTCTACAAAAAAAATCTGCGTTGGCCTCCTACGGAGGAACGACGGCAACATGTTGTGGTATTCTTTGCACAAAAAAAGCGCCAAAAATTTTGGCATTGATTAAAAGTGTAGAGGAGGCATAAAGGCACAATTTCTTCACATTTAAATACATTCTTCCGGCATATTATGAACAGGGTTCGTAACGTTAGAAGGAGTGTTAAAATGAAATCTGATTTTTTAAAAATCATTTTTGCCTTAGAAAATGTGAGAAAACCTGTGTACCGTTTGTGGCATTCCGTTTGTGGCGCCCCCTTTCCCCTCTTTCCCCTCTCAAAAAGTCTCGCGTCTTCTGTCGGCTGCGTACTCTCGATCCGGCCGCCCGCCCCACACTGACGCGCGCAGTCTGTGCCGTCACGCACGAACCGCCACGAGAGCTGCGTGAGCTGCCCGACCGCAAGGAGGTACTGTAGCATGCCCGATCGAGACGCATTTAAATCGTGTTGATGGACCTTTGGGGGGAAAGGGGGAGAAGGGTACGGCGGGGGGATATAGAGTCCCGATTCTTGTTATGTAATAAAACGTTTTGGCGGTGCACACCAGGAGGCGACTCTTGACGCTTCCTGCGTCTGTCCGTGTGGGCTGTGGGCCGGGGGCGGGGGCCCTCGGCCCTGCTCGCTGCCGTAGTGTTGCAACACGCCTTGATCGTGACATTGAGATCCAAATCCAGTTTGTCAGCATCCGAAAGAGGGGAAGAAGAAGAAGAACCAGAAACCAGACACTATGCACGCATGGCGGCCCACCTAGGCGCCTCGGGGGATTAGCGCCGAGCGAGGAAACAAATTAATGGTTAGCGATGGCTTTGTCTTGTGAAAATAAAACCTTTTCGGAACAAGGTCACCAATATAATTTTGTGATTGGTTCTGTAATCGACAAACAGCAAACATTACAAATGTGCCCAGATTTTAGAAATTCGCGCGCCGGCGTTTGGTAGCTCCCTCCGATGGACACACTTGAATTGTCATTATGAGCTTTCTCTATACTTTCTCCCCAAATATCTCGTTGCACGGGCCTTCTGCTATCCATTCCGAGTATTGCAGCCGGTTGCGTTGATCAGGGAAGTCGTCAGGCCCAAAGTGTGGAGCCGGAGAGAGAGGGAGAAGGGAGGAGGGCTGGGAGAAGGGGGGAGTGGGGTGGAAGCGGGGAGGCAGCATTAGCCATTTGTCACACCATCATCTGTTCGCGGCGGTCTACTTCTCACCCCAAAGGCGGCCACAGTCGGTCCGCTCGTGTCGGCAGTGACAACCTGAAGCTCTCTTTACTAAACACACTTTTGCTTGCAGGTCACGGCCCGCGGCTGCGATGGCCGCGCTGCTGGCGCTGCTGGTCCTGCCGGGCGCCCTGGCCGCCTCCCGCGCGCGCACGGCGCACCTCGCGCCCGCCGTGGACATCGGGCCGCTGCCCGTGGCGCCGGCGCCGCGCATGCCGGACATCCCCGACCAGGAGGTGTCGGCCTTCATCTCGTGGGCCGAGGCGTCGCTGGTGAACCGCTTCGAGCACCTGGAGCCGAGCATCGTGAGCAAAGGGGTGATGCCCGCGCCGGGCACCCCGGCCTGGTTCATGGCCGCCTCGCACTCGGCCAGCGGCGCCGCGCACAACCTCACGCACGTCGCGCTGGTCGCGGAGGAGGCCACCAAGTACATGGCGCAGGCGCTGGAGCTGTCGCCCGAGCAGGTGCGGCTGGGCGGGCCCTCCATGGACGTGGCCAACACGACGCTGGGCCGCGGCTGCCCGCTGCCGCGCGAGGCGCCCTGCCCGCCGCGCAAGTACCGCGCCTACTCGGGCCACTGCAACAACGTGCAGCGGCCGCTGTGGGGCGCCGCGCACACCCGCTACTCGCGCTTCCTGTCGCCCGTGTACGCGGACGGCGTCTCGCTGCCCCGCGGCACCGCCGGCCCGCAGCTGCCGTCCGCGCGCGCCGTGTCGCTCGCCGTGCACCGGGACTCGGACCAGCCGCACCGCCACGTCGTCGCGCTGCTGCCCGTCTGGGCCGACCTGGTCGCCCACGACCTGGCGCACACGCCGCGCATGGCCGGCTTCGGCGGCCGACCCATCAAGTGCTGCGGCGTCGACTTCAGCGAGTTCCACCCCGAGTGCTTCCCCATCCGCCTGCCCGACGACGACCCCGTGTTCAAGCCCGAGCGCTGCCAGGAGTACGCCCGCTCCGCGGCCGCGCCCCGCACCGGCTGCACCCTCGGCGCCCGCGAGCAGCTCAACCAGGCCACGTCCTTCCTGGACGGCTCCGCCGTCTACGGCTCGTCGCGGGAGGCGGCGCTGCGACTGCGTGAACTCCGCGGCGGCCTGCTCCGCACCCAGGTCAGGAAGGCCGAGACCCGCTTCATTGTTGTCACTAATTTTTTCACCTCTCTTGTTCTGCAGACGGGTGGTCCACTTGGTTCATGTACGCACTGGAAAATGTACAAAAAATTCCAGATATTCCTCAAGTATTCTAGATATACCAACGAAAATTTTCCAAACTTCCAAAAAATACTCCAGACATCTCCAAAACATTCTAGATATTCCACCAGAAAAAATCCAGACATCCCACAAAAATATTCCAGATGTTTCTATGTACACTAAAAATCTGAGTGGTCCACCCCTCGAGTTCTGTACACTCTTTCTCGTTGTCTGACGCGTTCCTCTGCCCCCCGCCGCCAGGCTGGCCCGGACGGCCCGCTCATGCCCGCCGACGACGTCCGCGACGACTGCCGCCCGAGCCGCAGCTTCAAGTGCTTCCTCGCGGGAGACGCTCGCGCCAACGAGCACCTGGGCGCGGCCGCCGTGCACACGCTGCTGGTGCGCGAGCACAACCGCGTGGCGGCCGGGCTGGCCGCCGTCAACCCGCACTGGGCCGACGAGACCCTGTTCCAGGAGGCGCGGCGCGTCGTGGCCGCAGAGCTGCAGCACATCACGTACACCGAGTTCCTGCCCGTCCTGCTCGGACAGGTGGGTGGATGCATGCCAATGATGATGACGCACAGTGTCAAAGTTTGCGAGGGCGTAGCGCAAGTAAAGCACAAATGCAAAAGCTCAAAAAATTCATAGAAAAATATTTTATAAAACTAAAGACGGACGAGATGGCTGTACCTTTGCTTCGGGACAATACTATTTTTTCATGTGTCGGAATGGCTTTGTTAGCCCGAATGAAAATATCTATGAATTGTAAAAAAATTGTTTTCTTTAAAAATGTTCTTGATCAAAGAAAACTTTCTTGCTCTATAACGTATTTTTTCTTGGTGCAAAAAGAAAAAAAATACTCTTGGTCCAAATTAAACAATTAAAGAGCCGGTAGTCCTCTATTATTGAAGAACTATTTCCCCGCCGAAAACACTTTCTTGTGGGTGTCAAACCAAAACATAATTTAAAAATAACCCCGATTCTCGTTTGTCTGCAGACCGCCATCGACAGCTTCGGCCTGCGGCCCATGAGGGCCGGCTTCTACTCGGGCTACGACATCGACCTGAACCCGAGCGTGGCCAACGTGGTGGCGGCGGCGGCGCTCTGGTACTCGGCCACCCTCATGCCCCGCACCATGAACGAGTACGACGGCGCGGGCGGGCGGGTGCGCGAGTCCTCGCTCGCCGTGTCCTTCTACGCGCCCTTCGGCCTGCACGCGCGCGGCGCGCTGGCCGGCGTCGTCCGCGGCATGCTCCTCGACCCCGCCCAGCAGTCGGACGCCCACATTAACTCCGTCATGACCAACAGCCTGTTCCACGCGCCCGGACAGCCCGGCCCCGGCCTCGACCTGGCCGCCCAGGTGCGAACCACAAACTTAACCTTACCTCTACACACACCTCACCCCACCTCACTTCACTTCACCTCACCTCACCTCACCTCACCTCACCTCACCTCACCTC